ACATTAAATTAAAGTCATACATTCAAATTTACAAATTAATATTACATTTCAAGTTTTAGGATATAAGACTCTTAATTTACAAATAATTACATGGTCAAAAGCAAAAGGTAACTAAACCAATATCATTCCGGACGCGACCTTGATGGACCTGAAAATAGAAATTAACGTGTACACATAAATACAAAAAGGTAGTAACAAACAATAACAATGATAGGTAATAATCTTCATAGAATTTCTTTTGAGACATAAAATTAGGTATAAACCTCTTTTACAACTTGTATTTTCAATCTATTACCAATATCCATCTAATATCATTTTTCATTTGTTGAGAATAATTTCATCTTAGAAATCTCAACACAACTCAACAATTTTCAAACACCATCTTCTTATAAATCAATTCTCTCTTTATACCAAGACATTGCTCTCTTGATATCCTTAGCTTATCTCATTCCTTTGGAATAACTAATTAATATTTTCCCTTTTATTTTCTAGAAAGTAATCGCCGACACTAATAAATCTCAATAGTATCATTAGTCTTTTAATATTGAGATAGACTAATCACTTACATTCATGTACCGATATTAACACAACCAATTAGTATCATTAACTATTCTTATCCGGAGTATCAAATCTTATTCATATCTGATTTACCATCAAAGTTACCGATGTCAAGAACCCTTGACACTATCAGTCTCTTTACCTGAAGTAGCTAATCACACCAGAAATGGTTGTCGATACCAATGTGACCCATTGATATCATTAACTATTCTCGACCCAGAATAGTTAATAAACCTATCTTTCTCACTGAACCAAGAGTAACCATGCCGATGTTAGTAATCTTTACTAACATCATTAGTCACCTAATTGCTCGGGATCGACTAATCAATTTAAGAAATGCCAGCACCAATGAAACATCATTGATACCATTAGCAATCCAAACCCGAATTGCTAATCAATGTCGTCTGAAAAGCCGATACCAATGAAACCTCATTGATATCATTAGCTATCCAAACCCGGATAGCTAATCAATGTCACCCTAAATGCCAGTACCAATGAAAACTCATTGATACCATTAGCTATCCAAACCCGGATAGCTAATCAATGTCACCCTAATTGCCGGTACCAATGAAACCTCATTGATACCATTAGCTATCCAAACCCGGATAGCTAATCAATGTTACCCTAAATGTCGGTACCAATGAAACCTCATTGATACCATTAGCTATCCAAACCCGGATAGCTAATCAATGTCACTTGAAATTTTCATTCGTATCGATCCCCCTCCCTTTTTTTTTCTTTTCTTCTTCTTTTTTTTTTTTTCTTTTAACATCATATGCATTATAACAACTGTTGCTAAGCATCATTCTCACACAAACTTAGTTATCGACACTACGACCATAATAACATAATTAATTCGATACATAACAACACACGCAAGTCACTCCTATTTGTTCAAACATTATCCTAACAAATAGAGATATACTGTTGCACATAAGGTACTCTTACTCATTTCAATATCATCGAAGCAATAAAACAATAAATTCTAAAATTTACCAATAAGTTTACTCAATTTAAAAAGACAAGGTGCGATACACCTGCTTCCTTCACATAAATTATTTAAACACAATGCATCATCAATATACATATATAAATCGAGCATCAATAATTTAATCATAATATACCATTAATTTATCACCCTAAAGTCGGTACACTTCATTTTTGTTATTATACATCTAACTCGACAGTCAGTACAGTAACGCCATTAACTCTATTCAAACCAGCTAGTCCACTATATTTTCCTCGACATAAACATTCACAATTACATAAGCACAAGTACATTTATCGAAAATACCATTTATTTAACTCTAACAAGTATTGTAAAAACAAAAGTTTGAGATGTAAGACACCTACCTAATGCTTGAACTCACGCAAAAGTCCCATGCTACTAAATAGATTCTGCAATCTCTCTTGTATCATTAAAGATACATATCAAATGTGGCTCCACCATAATTGAAAATTCCATTCTAAAATTCATTTAAATTTAGAATCGCATGACACATGCATTCGCATATTTATTTATTTATTTCCTTTCTTTTCATGACTTGTTTTTCTAGACTGAGTATCTTTAAACATGACCTAACAATCTTAATTTATTTTATTTTATTTTTGTCTACTCAATCCATCATGTATAGACTTAGTAACATCACATCCTTGCATTTATTCATACAATTGAAACTAATTCATATTCCTTATCAAACCAACTCTTGGCCGAATGACCTTATTTTTTATTTATTTATTTTCATGATGAGTTTTCCAATTCTTTTTCATTAGTCCACTTTACTTCATCTTAAGTAAATTTAACAACATATTTTCATTATAATTCCATGTACGCCTTAATTTAACCTTTTCCTCCTCTTTTATTATCCATTTGGACAACGTTAAAATTCCACAAAATAACATTTTCCTCACATTAATCTATTATTTCAAACATAACACAATTCATTTGGCATTTAACAAACCACAATCCCATAAAAATCCCCATAACATTAGGTCGAACAAACTCAAGTTCAAGATTTTCATTTTTGGTTGGATTCCATATTATGATGAGAATTTGGATCTTTTTAAAATTCTTCCAATTGACACTCTACCTAATTTTCTTTATACAAATATATGCATCCATACCTAGTTTTCATAGAAAATGAATCAAAGTCCTATCTCCTTATTTCTTCTTCATTTGGCCGAATGCCTTCATTCATGGTGAGGGATGATTCCCTTTTTAATTATTCTATATAAACGTTTACCAATTCATTTCATATCTATTCTAACCTCATTCAACTCAAATTCCATAGCAATTAAAACAATTAAGCTCATCCTCTCATTTATATGTCTAGGCCGAATCTTTGCATTAAATGGAAGATAAAGTTTTCTTCAAGTTTTCTTTCAATTACCACTAGACCCAATCCTTTTTAATGCCTAAAAACATATATCCATTAAATCAACAAACTCAATGTCCCTTCATCCAAATTTCAAAACTTCCCTAACACATTTTACAACACAATTAATCTATAACAACACTAATAACAAGAACACATTTTACCATTATATCTTACATAAACCCTACACCCACACAATTATAATTTCATCAAAACATGTAATTAAATCAAGCTTCCTAAATGTTTTACTAAGACTAGCAATAGATTCAAATAGCAACAACTCATCCACCTTTGATTATTTCCTTAAACCCAACGGTCAGAATATATATCATTGTGTTGTGTACAATATATCATAAAATCAGAATAATCCAACGATTGGATCTCCATAGATCTGAATAAAACCGAACTAACCTGAAAATGGATGAGCTACTATTCAACATGAACCAAACCTTGCCGGAGAGTGCGTTTCCGATCTCCACCGTCCAGAATGAAGGCCACATCTAGGCGCACCACATATCCAAAAATAGGCACGATCCAACGATGGAAGAGAGAGAAATCAGCCGGCGATCAAAACTGCCCTGCAGGTATATTTTCTTTTGTTTTCCAGGACACTTCCGATGATGATTGCTGCTCAATGGATTATGTTCCTTCAAATCCCTCCAGTCCATTAATAGAGGAGTGTGAGAAGAACAATATATCCAAAAATCAACATGATCCAACGGTGGATTCCAGAGATATAGCCACTGAAGCATTATTGGTTCATCCAAATCCTGCACCTCTCTCTAACCGAATTCTCTATTGTCTCTCACCCCTTTTCATTTTTCTTTCTCTTTTTTTTTTCTTATTTAATCTGGTGGCTTTTTGCTGTTTTTAAAGGCACCATTGTTTTCCTAATTACATTTATATCCCTCATTTATGTATTTATATATTATTTGTTTTCTTTTTTTTTCATGGAAACCACCCGGTTTGTTTCTGCTTAAATCGTTAGTCTTTACTAAACTCCCATTGGGATGATATTTTTCACCAATATAGGAAAACATATTAATAGACTTCATGCAAAATTTCATCTCAATCCGACGATTGGATTGAGAGCTCTGCTTTCTAATGTAAAATTAGTCAGTTTATGACTTTTCGTCAACTATCCAAATTTTCTTGTTCAATCTTCACATAAAATAATATCAATTATCCTTCTAAACCTTTAAGGTCATTTTATTATTTTGGAATATATTCATTTTGTCATTTCTCTCATTATTTTATTCATCAAAACACGTTACCAGTTTCTTTGTCTTTATGAATTCTAAAACAAAATTCATTTTATGGAGGTCATCCCCTCCATTATATATCACTTTCAGCTTTACGTTTACATGGCAGGTTATACATCCGCATATTTAAATCATAAATTTTCTAGGGTTTCACAGATGCAACTAGGGAAGTCATCTAAATGACGATACCAATTGGTGTCTCCTCCTGACTGATCACTAGCATGCATAATGGCATTAAAGTCACCGAGAACAATCCATGGGGTGCAAGTGTTGAGGGAGCTTTCTTGGTAGAGATAATGCCAAAGAGTACTGCGTTCGATTGGGGTATATTGGCCATACACAAATGTGATTCGAAGGGTGGATGCAAGGTAGTGGGTAGTGATCTCACAAGTTAGCCATTAGGAAGAGGAATTGATATGGGTGAGGGAGAGTTTATGTGGGTTCTAGTCGATGAGGATGATAATTGGTGGAGGAATTAATGTTGGAGGTGTAATGCTAAGGTGGAATGGCTAGTTGAGAGGCAATTGTATCTAGATTGGAGGCTGTTATCCTGGTTTATAATAAACCAAAAATATCCAAGTTGTTTTTTGTCATCCAATCCTTGATAGTTTCTTGTTTGTGGAAGCTATTGAGTCCCCAAACATTCCAGCCATCATGCATGTTGAATGTTTTAGCTTAAGCTAATTATGAGTGCGGGCTAGGTTATTCACTTAAGCTTACCTGGTGGATCTCATTTTTGGTTCTATGTGATTGCCCCTTTCATTAGGTGGTTTGGTGTTACTGAATATTCTAGCTTCTGTTGAACAATTTCTCCAGGTTGCTTGCTGGAGTAGTTCAATCATGTATTGCATTTGCTACGGATTGCTGGTTGCTTTGGATGTCTTTGCAGTTTGCTACGTCAAGGCTTCGTTTTGCTCATATTTGTATTTGCATGTTTTATCCGTTCAGGGAACTTGTTGTTCCCTTTGATTATTTTGGTTTGCAATGTTCATATTGGGAGCTTGTTCCCTCATGCTTATTTTATTAGATTGTACATGCTTGCATATTTTGACTCGCTGGTTCTCTAGCTTAGTTTTGTTTTGATCTATAAAATTTCTTAATTTGATAAAAACAAAAAGAGCTCGCAGTCTGTCAATCCTTACTATGTCTGGACCTAGTAAGTTTTCCCGTATTGATTCAAATTTAGCCACAGACTCCACTCCTGGTGGTGCCCTTCCATCAATTCCTTTAAATTTCAGCCTTATGACTATACTCCTCTTAGAACCCAAAAACTTTGATTTCTTATAAGGTGATGGCGGAGTCCTAGAAGCAACATCCTCCAATCCCTGGTCGGCATCGTTTATCGTTGAGACTAGGATGGTATATGATCGCCTTTGAGCCCCCAACTTTCGTTCTTGATTAATAAAAACATCCTTGACAAATGCTTTCGTAGTTGTTCGTCTTTCATAAATCCAAGAATTTCACATCTGACTATGAAATACGAATGCCCCTGATTGTCTATGTTAATCATTACTGTGATCTCCAACACAATAGGATTGAAATCCTATGCTAATGTATCTAGAGCATATGCTTGCTTTGAGCACTCTAATTTCTTCAAAGCAACAGCACCAGAGGCATGACCAAGCCAATTAAGGCCAAGAGTGCATTACCGGTAGAAAGGACAAGGCAACAGGCGCACACTTGAGGCAGACCGACCAACCTAACCCAAAGTCCAACTACAAGTTTTTTAACTGCAACAACTTAAATATATGCTATTGGAGTTGGAATTACCATGGCTGCTGGCACAAGACTTGCCCTCTAATGGATCCTCGTTAAGGGATGTCGATTGTACTCATTTCAATTACTAGACTCGAAGAGCTTGATATTGTTATTTATTGTCACTACCTCCCCATGTCAAGATTGGGTAATTTCCACGCCTGCTGCCTTCCTTAGATGTGGTAGCCATTTCTCAAGCTTCCTCTTCGAAATTGAACCTTAATTCTCTATCACCTATCACCACCATGGTAAGCCTCTATCCTACCATCAAAAGTTGATAGGATAAAAATTTGAATGATGCGTCGCCAGCACGATGGTCATGCGAGTTGTCGAGTTATCATAAATCATTAAAACAACATGCAGAGCCCGTGTTGACCTTTTATCTAATAAATACGTCCCTTCCAGAAGTTGGGGTTTGTTGCACATATTAATTCTAGAATTACTATGGTTATCCAAGTAGCAAATACCATCAAACAAACTATAACTGATTTAATGAGCCATTCGTAGTTTTATAGTCTGAATTAGTTCATACTTACACATGCATGACTTAATCTTTGGGACAAGCATATGACTACTAGCAGGATCAACTAGGTAGCATTCCTTGGCAACACCACGACCCATATGATCCCCGACGCCAATGAGACGAAGAGTTAAGATGGGCAAGGAAGTCATTCTTATTGAGCATGAACAGCTCAAACAGGGCAATCGCAGGGACATAGGCCCCCATGTTGGCATTACATTCTGCATCCGAAAGCACGAGCGGTCACGCATGGGCTAGTTCAGCGGGAGTCTGCTCAAGTAGAACACGAGCGTTGCTGCTAGGTTTACCTTGTGCCCTCGAGGAGGCGCGAGGTAGAGAGCGACGACTTCATGTTTGAATTCTAGGTATGTAACACAAGAACCCTGCCTCGCTGCAAGGCACCTAGGGTCTTGGGCTTAGTCCAACCATAAAGACGTGTTCTTTCTATTACCAATGCAAGCTAAAAGCATACCTTTGCACCTATTTCTACTTTAAAGGATCTTTCTCTAAGACCATGAGGAGGTTGGAGGGGGGTTGATTTACCACAAGCATCACATTTTAAGAAGGACAGAACCCACCCAAACCACCCAAATTGAAGAGCCTTTTATGGTAGCCTCTAAACATGTTTTAAAAAAACAACATTGTTCCATGTTTTAATGCTTTTTATCCCCAATCCACCTTTTTTTAGTGGATAGCATAGAGATGCCCAAGCAATTTTAGCTCTTGTGTGTGTTAAAGAGATTCCCTTCCTGAATCCTAAACCTTAAACATTTTTTTGGATAAAGTTAAGTTGTATATAAAAATTAGGAAAATTTTGTATAAAAATTATGAGGGGCATACCCCAAGAGAAATTAATCTAAACAACATAGCAAGGAAAACCAAAATAAAAAGATCGTTGGCTTGGAGCCAAACAGAGGAAACAACAAAAAAAGGAAATAATTATACATGGGCTCTACATGAACAGAGGCCGAGTAATTGATAATCTTGTTTAAGGGAAATAACAATCCAGAAAGGCCATTCCCTTATCAAATCATCCTTTCCTTATCTATCTGGTGCCTCTCAGGTAGTTGGGAAAAGAAAATGGGCAAAAGCCCATAGTAGCTTAAAAGTCAACAATCATCATTGAAAAGGAAACCAAAACTTTCTGCCTTAAGGTAGCAAATGTTATGGTTCTTGCAGACCTTATATGTCTTAGACCAATGCTGGAATGGTGCCTTTATGTTCCATGTTTGTTACATGAGTGCAAATCCTTTAGAAGATGGCCTTGGTTGTTGTTTGTGGTGCCTGAAAGATGTCATTAAAGACACAGTGTTCCTTTCATGCCAAAGAAAGTAGATTGTGGTGGACAGTAGGAGACGAGCAATAATATAATTGATGTCATTCTTCTTTTAGTAAGTGGTGGAAGCCCATTAAAGAAGGCGGTGCCAAGTACTGGGTAGCCAATGCATGTTTGCTTTGTTGCTGACAATACACCATAAAGTTGTAGAATAAGGACAATAGAAAAAAAGATGCTAATGAGTATTTATGTGCAAACCACACGACATGCAAGTGGTTATTATTTTAGCCATGTGCAACCTGTCAATGGTGTGCAATCGATCTAAATAGGCCAACCACAAAATGAATGATAGGCATGGAATGTGGCCTTTGAACCAAAGCAGGTGATGCATGTTATTGGTAGGCTTTTTATCGTGTAGGAGTTCCCATGCAGAGTCAACTGTGAAGGCCCTTGAAGGGTATCCTGTCCATACACATTGGTCATTCCTGGTTGAGTTAAGAGAGAAGGTAATGGCATTCCATGTTGTTTGTAGCTTTTGGATGGCTCTTAGGAAGTGCCACTGCTCACCATTTATGATGTCTGAGACTCTTGCTATCCAAGGACCCTGTGGAGGTAAGGATACGAAGTGGTATAGAGTCAATTATTTGCTTTCCTTTAGGTAGCCAATAATCAAACCATAATGATGAGGTTTCATTGTCAATGCATAATATAAACCAACATTTGCACCATTCTCGGTTGTACAGAATCTTTCTCCAATACCACGAGGGATTGTGGGAATGTTGAAATGCCAAAAAGACTTATGATAGAGGTGAATTATATGGATTCATGTTGTCCAAATGGACTGATTGTCTAAAAATAGACACCATATATGTTTCATGGTTGCCGTTTTGTTTCCATGTTTTAAGACTTTTTATGCCAAGACCTCCTTCCTAAATGGGATAACAAATAGAATTCCAAGATACTTTTGCTCTAGAGGGTGATAGAGAAGTGTCCTTCCAGAGAAAAGTAGCAATGATGTTTTCTATTTTATGGATGATGGTGCAAGGCAGGATAAATATAAAGGACTAGTAGACTTGGATGAAAAAGAGGACTGATTTGATGAGTTGTAGATGACCTGTATATGTTAAGGAAGAGGATGTCCATAGTTTGATTCTGGAAATGATTTGTTCGACAAAGATAGGCAGTTCGCATGGGTGAGTCTTGTAAAGATTAGAGGAACACAAAGATATTTCACTATAAAGGTTCCTTACTGGAATCTTAGTTGATGTTGAATGTTGTACTGAAACTCCCTATCAATTCCTGATAGGTGTGAGAGCATTATAAAATAACATTAGATCATCTGCAAAACAAAAGTGAGTGATGGAGTTTGGCTTACAATGCTAATGGTACTTGAAGCTGGGCCTCTGGATAGCTTGGTGAAGGATGCCTTTCAGCCTTTCCATTACTAATACAAAGAGGTATTAGGATAAGGGATCCCCTTGCTGAATCCCTTTTGTTGATTTGAAAAAGCCATGAAGCTAACCATTCAAACTAATGGTATAGTGGGTTGTAGAGATGTAAACTTTGATCCAATTTATCATGCACTATGGGATGGTAATGGCCTCTAATCCGGAAAAAATAAAGTCCCATCTCACAGTGTTAATTGCTTTTCTTAGGTTAACCTTCAAGGCACTTCTGAATAGCCCCTTATTGAGGTGATTGTTGTGCATGAGATCCTATCTGAGCAAGATTCCATCTAAAATATGTTGGCCAAGTAAGAAGGCATATAGGAGGGCCCTATGACTTCAGCTAATGCTTTCTTTAACCTATGTATAATTATATTATAGATGCATTTGTACATAACATTACAGAAATATATTGGTTGAAATTCATTCATGCTTGATGGATTCTCAACCTTAGGCATAAAGGCTATTCTAGTAGCATTGACATAGAAAGGTAGTGAGTTGTGGGTGAAGAAATACCTGATTGCTGCTATAAAGTCATCCCCAATGATGGCCTAGCATTTCTTAAAGAAAAGTGCATTGTATCCATCTGGTCTAAGTGACTTGTTGTCAGGAATGGAAAAATAATGCAGCCTTGATATCATTATTACTAATAGGGCAGTGTAATGCTGCTTTGGAAGATTTAGTGATGGCATTCAGGAATATTCTAGTGATGTCTGTTGTGAGTCGTGGTTGCAGAGCAGATAGGATTTGCTTATAGTTGTTGGAAATAAAAGCAGAAACAAAGAATAAGGAGGAATTGAAAGGATAAACGGTAGAGTTGTAGCTCAATACTAAGGGTAATATTATTATTCCTTGTTGTTCTGTTCACATTTTTAAAATACAAGGAAGAGCAAAAGACAACAAAGTTGAATTAATAAAGAAGTAGAAACACTTAGCCTTCCGCAATTTAGAGAAGACCAAAAGCCACAAAAGCTAATAATGAAAGACATTGAATCATTACAAATTACACTGAACACTCCCTCTGAATTTGTAATCTTAAAAAATTTCTTGAATTACTGAAACTTCTCGGCTGGAATAGCTTTGGTGAGGACGTTTGCAGGTTGATTATTAGTGGTGATAAACTCTAGCTGAATCTCTTTCATGCTAACCATCTCTAATAATGAAATGATGCCTCAACTTTGTGTTTTGATCTTGCATGAAAAATAAGATTCTTGGTCATAACAATAGCTTACATATTATCATAGAAAATAGTGGTAGGATCAAGAATATTTTGCTGCAAATCATAAAGGATTCTTCTCAACCACACTGATTGATAAACAACTTTATTTGCAGCAATGTATTTTGCCACTGCGATAGATAAAGCTATAGAATTCTATTTCTTTGAACACCAAAAGATTATATTTGCTCCAAGACAAAACATATATCTAAATGTATTCTTCCTACCATTATAGCTTCTTGCTCAATCACTATCAGAATAGCCAATCAACTTGTTTTCATCTTGTCGTTTATACATGATTCCATGATTATTGGTTTCTTAAAGATATCGTAAGATCCTCTTAGTTGCTGCAAGATGAAGCTTGCTGGGATTCTCTATAAATCTAGAGATAATGTTGACAAAATAAAGTATATCAGGTCTTGAATTTGTGAGGTAGATTAAAAACCCAATGAGGCTTCTGAAATACTTTGAATAAATCTTTGATGCACCATCATCCTGTAGTAATTTCTCATTTGATGCCATTGGAGATGCTACTACTTTACACTCTAACATGTTGAATTTCTTTAAGAGATTTGTAACATACTTTTCTTGTGAAATAAAGATTTTTCCTAAAGATTGCTTCACTTGAATTCCAAGAAAATATCTCATTAATCCAAGATCTAACATTTTGAATTTTTTCATCATAGTGTTCTTGAATTCTACAACCATATCTTTACTTGTTCCTAAATAAATCAGATCATCAATATAGAGAAATCTAGTAGAAAATCTTTTCCCTTTTTCTTATATAGAGTGATGGTTTGGATTGACTTCTGCTGAAACCATTATGTTGAAGATAAAGATCAATTTTATGATTCCACGCTCTTAGAGCCTATTTTAATCCATATAGGGCTTTATAAAGTCTTTGGACTTTATGTTCTTCTCCCTTTAATTCATATCTTAGAGGCTGTTGAACATAGACTTCTTCTTGCAATTCACCATGAAGAAACATTGACTTAACATCAAGCTGAAACATCTGCAATTAAAGTTGTGCAGATAAGGCAAGAACAATTCTAATAATTTCCATCCTTGCAACAGGTGCAAATGTTTCTATAAAATCAACTCCAGGCTGCTGAGAATAGTATTTAGCAACAATTCTA